CAAAACTGCGTAAGTCTTATGTTTAAGAATTAATTTCTCAGTAAGTATTCGGACGATATCTTTCAAATTTCGTATTTCACCATTTAAAATTGCAAATTGATGCAAAGCTTGTATACGAATTCAATTTTCTTTACTACTACTAAATAAAATAATAAAAGATAAGTATTTACTGAGAGTTTTATTTTGCTTGAAATTATTTCTGGATAAACGAAGCTCGTGTGAAGCTTTGTGTGAAAAATCTTTCAATTCGCTTAAAAAGTTCAAGCTATGATGAAATACGCAAAAAGTAAAGTTAATATTAAGGGGTCCATATTCAGGACCACTCTCCTGTTTTAACCACTAAAATCTTATTTCTCAGATTGCGGCTACCTACTATTCGAATCCGCCAAGAAAATGATATGTCTATTCAGAGAAAGTACGCTTTTGTGTCTGATTTCGTAACTTAAAATATAGTTTGCACAAATTAATAAACACATATAACCCCTTCGAAGCATTCAGATTGAGCCCTAGAACGTGAAGATCCAATCATTAGATCAAAAATTATTTATGTTAATACATTAATATATATATATATATATATATATAAACAGATATTTTATTATTTGACAGACTGAAGTAAGTACTCAATAAACTGAATCTAATTTTTTTCTAATTTAACGACATGGAAAAAAAATCATGCAATTTTTGAGTCTGAGAAAGAGAGTAAATCACGTTTTCTTTGAAAAAATATTTTTATTACAATAAAAAAATGAATTCTTTAAAACCGTATTCGCCTTTTGTTAAATTTAGTCATTCTATGGCTGGTGGTGATCGCTAATTCTGCCCTATAACTCAGAGTTTAATTTTGACTTCATATTTTAAACTGAGAACAGACAAAAAAAACTATGGCGAAAACTAGCAAAATGTACTGTTTTACCTCTATGGGAGCACCAAAAAACTCCTTACGTTTTAACGAAGCACTTTGGTTATGAGTTTGGTAAAATTAACAATAAAATATAATTTTATAATGAGTGATAAAATATGGTAAATATAGTTAAATTTCGCAATTTTTTTTCAAGATACATTAGAGCATGGTATAAAAATCATTTATTAGGTTAAATTTATTTTTCAGTTTTGTATTTTTTACCCAATGTGCGGTCATGAGAGCTATAATTTTGAATACCGGTAAACCGTTGCCATATGAACTGAAAAATAACGAATGAATTGTTTAAATACCGTATATTTTGATTTTATTAACCTATTTTTTTAAAACCAGAAACACGGTTGCCATACAGTGCCGCAATTTTACTATAGATTTAATAAAAGTATTAGTTTAGTAATTACATTATTAAGTTATATTTTCCTGAATATTTCACACACATGCACTTCGCAAAATAAAATCAATATTTTTTTTTACCATTATTTCCATGGCTGTCCATCGAGACGTACCCCAGTACATAGCCATGCCTTGATTAATACAGTGGGTGAAGGCACGAACAACCTCTGCGAATGAAAAAAATTAAAGTAATATCTGATAGTAAAAAAAAAAAAGACTTTTGATCGATGAGCTTTATTTTATTTTTCCCAAATAGAGCTTGGAATTTATTAATTTAGTGTGGCATTATCCTCACCCAGGCTATGTTGTGCATGAGTGAGAATTTAATATCCTATCTTAAAATAATTTGATTGAAATCATAACATTAACATAACACCATTTGTTTTCAATTTTTAATAATGCGTTATTAGTGTTTTTGGTAGTTTTAAACGAACTACTTTTTCACTTTTTAAATGTTGCGGAAACTTGTATTATGTTTGAAAAATACATTAGTTGTTAACTAATATAGCTTTAAATTACTAACATATTTGCATGTGTTATGATCCAATTTTTGTCGACCATTATTAAACAAAACAATGAATAATTGTAAAAAATTATTATTGCATTGAATTATCGTAAAATAAAGTGTTTTTTTGATAGTTTTTGAAAAAGGCATGTTTATTTGTCGAAAATGAGTTTTTGTGTAAGTATTTGTAATTTAATAGTTAGCAGTAAACATTTAGCCTCTTTGAAGTCAACGCTTTCAGCCATTAAGATTGACATTTAGTACGTGAAAATCCACCCCTAAGAACAAAAGTTATTCAGGGTGATATATTTTTTGTACAATGTATATAGTTTTACCATCCTTAAATAATCAATCATTGTCTTCATATGAGATCTGAAAACTTAAGTTAGTCGTACAGTGGTTGGAATTTTGATCAATGGTGAAATCGATATAGCGATAATATGACGATTTATATTCTGTTTGTAGCATTCTGTAAAAGATTTAAACTTGTATTGCGATCTAGAGCTCTTTGGTTGCTCTAGTTAGTCAGAAAGTGGTAGAAGGTTGGTCTCAGTACAGTGAACAAACAAGATTCTATCTTTACGAACATGAAAACGAGTTTATAAGACTGTTGTAGTTTTTTTTAAAAATATAGGTTTTAAATACTAAATAAAATATAAAAAACAATGCAGTAATAACTTTATGTTTTGAATATTTTACGAAATATATTCTTTTAAAAATGTCTGTAGATAACAGTACGAAGGGCGAAAAATATAGCGGGATAAAATATAAATAAATAATTTGTTATCATATGTAAAAACTTAAAATTTATTTCTCTAGAAAACTTTGGTAAGCAAGGTTATGAAGAAACAAAAAGAATTCTTGCAGAAAACATTAATAAGTAATACCTTATATATGAAGGAATAGGAAATATTCGTTAAGAAAATGCTAATAAGTATTTGAAGAAAGGGAAAGTATTCGTTCGAAAGTGTTAATTAGTAATATTACGACGAAAAAAAAACACGTTTCTCGATGAAATATATCTTTTCAGAAGTTGAGAGAGCTGTTCGCTTTAGATATCGATTTTTTTTTTTGCTGTTAAAAAATCGTCACTCGCACCAAAAATAATGAGGATAATTAAATTGCCTGTTTTACACTCCGGAAAAACCTCGCATAATGCGTACAGTCTCCAGATAAAGAAAAGAAAGCAAATAATATATATGTGTTAATTAACAGTAAGGTTACCTTCCATTGGACACATAGGATCAGCTTTATTTACAAAAATTATATCCACGTAACTTAGTTGAAGTCTTTCTAATGATGACTGCAAACCTAAAACATAAAAATATTATTCGAAAAACATGTTCTTAAAGAAAACATATTTAAAATTTTTCTCATCTGAAATTTGATGATTAAACATTATTGTTTAGTTATTTGAAACAAAACATTGAAGTGCTAGGTTGCTCCCTACTTTGTCAAATAGAAAAATTACTTACAATTGGTACGAATACTAGTTGAAGGAATATATATTGAATGTAATATTTAATTTCAAATTATTATAATGATTTAAATCAATTTATAAATTTGGACACACAGGAAACCAAAAAAAAAAATATATATATATATATATATATAAATAAAGCNAAAAAAAAAAAAAAAAGAAAGATAGATAGATATAAATAAAGCAAAATACGACATCGTAACACCTTCAGCGTGTGACGTTTCGACTCAAAGATTTCAAACATCAAAATAAAATTACACCAGAACTGATTTACGTAAATTTATTTTCTGATTTATACTCTTTTAATGATAGAATTAAAAAGAAAATAGATTGCAGTTAGAACTCAAAAGTACCATTTTACCAAACAAAAAAATTGCGTAACTTTCATTTTTATTTACTAAAATGTCAATTTTATTCCTATTACAAGCTCGTGATTCACAGTCAAAAAAATTAACAGACAATTCTTATAAAATAAAGAAAACAAATTTAGCGACAAGAATGTTCATAGTGATAGAGATTTTATTTGTAATCGTATGAAAATGATATTTTAAATAATCATGAAAATGTAAAATTAGTTAAAAAATGTACCAGTTTTTACAAGCATGCAATAGACAAGCAGACTCAAATGCTAATAAAATATTTGAAAATATCAAAATAATATTTGACATGCTTCACACACACAAAAAAAGATTCCCTTTTTGGCAGCCAAGTAAATTCTATAAATTTATTAAATAAAAATTTATTTTGATAATCTGATAAGCTTGTCAAGAGTAAAGGACGTTTCTTCTGTACAAAATGAATTCAAGGGTCATTCACTAGTCCTTAGAAAATCCTTAACAAACGCTCATAGCGGCATCGTTTATTAGACTGTAAAGAATATCTAATCTTTATTTATTAGTATAGGAATAAGTGAGATTTGTACAGTTACTTAAAAGTTATTACATTTAAAAGGCTTACAGTATAACTTACACCGAAAGAGATTAAAGTCGAGTTGAAGTAGTTTCATAACATGTTTGGTTCTAAGTTTGTTGTTGTTTATATTTATGTATCCTCAAAAAAGTATAAAAATATCGCATCCACAAGTGCAGAACATTGTCTTGATGTCCAACTGGCATGACTTTCGAATATGGCAATATGGTTTTTTGGTGATCGATGAATCAAGGTACTCAAAATAGTTGAAGCCGCAAACATATTACGAAGTGCAATATTTTTTCAACTTTACTTACATAATTGGTTTTGAAAAACATTTCGACAATTTATTGCATTGCTTAGGGAAGAAATCAAGCGAAAACATTTGGTGAATAAAAAAATGCTCTTCTATAAAGAACAACGGAAAGAGAACACCAGCACTTTTCGATGACAAGAATTATGGAATTAAAATTTAAATCATTGCTACATCCACCTTATTCGCAGGATTTAACCCCCACTTATTTTCTCTTGTTTCAAAACTTGAAAAAATAGTTCGTCAGAAAACAATTCACGTGGAATGAGGAACTCATCACCAATACAGATACCTACAGTTTGTCTACTGTAAGAACTTCCCCAGCCACAAAGTCTGAGGCGGTCTGCTGCTATGGAAACAAGAATAGCTCATTTCAGGGAGGGTAGCTTCTCTTGACTTTAGGACTAACGCAATAGGCCGAAGCAAAATATTCCCTTTCCCTCACCGACCCGAGCCAAAATCTGTCTTAAACATTGACCCCACCCCTACCTGAAATAGTCATACCTAGTTAGCAAAGTTACTGCCACGGGCCATAGGAAGGACTAGGGGAGTTCTTACTCTAGACAAACTACATCCTGATCCGACATTTCAAACGGCTTAAAAATGTCGAAGAAACTGGATAAAAAAATATGTGTTAACTCTCCAAAAGAGATTATATCGAAAAAAAATAACTAAACCGATTTTTTCTAAGGAATATTCAAGGAGTCTCAATAAATCAAAAAGTGCGCAACGGATATTTTACAATTTATAAATCTTTTTGTGTTAAAACCAGATAAATAAGTAACGTAACTAAAGTATCATGTATTTAACATGTATCGGATATGATATTTTGATTAAACATACTTAATAATATTTCATCTTTTCTTTACAAATAATGTGTTTCTTAACAATTAGTGAGTAATATAAAAGTTAAAAATACTTTTTATATTACCATTAAATTATTTTGATATTTATATAAAAACCAAATCAAAATTTATTTATAAGACTATTCTGATGAGTGCATAAATAGTGCATACTTCACAAAATCTCATGCAAGGTGCTTATTGCACGACTCAAGCAATAACTGACAATAAAAGAATAAAACGCATGCAAAAAACATGTAATATTATGTGAGTTGCGGATGCAAATTATAGCCTAGCAGAAATGTAGAAATTTTTTAGGAACTCGCAACTAAAATATAAAAGAAATAAAAATTAAAACAAACTTTAGAAAATATTCGAAATTAGCTTTACCGAAACTTGCCTTCGATTATGTGCTTCCTAGATAGTCCCCTATCCGTCTCCCCTCTGAGTTTTGTCAGTTATCAAACGAAAAAGGAGAAAAGAAAACAAAAACACACGCATTTTAGATGCACAAAAATCAACAACCATCTCAATTCACATTTTTTTATATCTACAACAACAAACAAGCATATCAGAAATATATACACATAAATACTGAAAAGGAACATTTAACATTGATAGCATAATTAACTCGAACTTAAAGTTTACCTATAAACATAAATTTAAGTTTGCAGACAATTAATCATTGGCCCACTTCGTCCCCCAGAAAATATGAAAAAGGTTTACTCTTAGATTTTATTTAAAAAAAAATGTTATTGTATATTCAGAAAGATTTTTAATTTTTGCAGTTTTCACTTTTATGTCAACTTTAAAGATCCTTTTTATCGGAAAATTTTCAATAATTATTTTTAACTTTTTAAATATGTACATTTCTTATCTGACAAAGTTTTTCATATATTTTAAGTTAATTATTACTTTCGAATCAAACTACTATTTAATGCATTATCTTTCGTATATGGTTATTTCTTTTCTTGCAAAGTAAGTCATACTTTAACTACACCTCGAGATTTTTTGTTGTTGAATGAAACTGTATAAAACCTTATTGGGTACCGTGTAAATAACTATTTTTGTTGTTTCATGGATTTTATTTGAAAAATAAACACTTTAATGCCATGGTTGTGATGAAAAATAAACATATGAAGGGAAATCGTTTTTTATTTCTTTAAACTTTCGTGTTACAAAAACTTACATAACTCTCAGTTTTACTTCTACACTTTGAAAAATTTCTCCACTAGATTTCGGTCAGGGGCCGATAAAAGTTTTCTGGTCATTGACCGTAACGATAAATTACGTCCTTTAATCTAATACTTGTATTAAGAAATACTGGTATATATTAAAATATTTCTTGTGAAATGTATGACCATTGAGCGTAATTTAACGTTATTCTCATATAACTTATCATGAGTTCAAGCCTTGATGATGTTTGTGGAATAAGGCGTACCGTGGAACTATGCGGTATAGTGCAGTGCCGCCATCTGACGGGGAGTGAGAGATATGCACGTTCATTATCCATAGTCACCAATGTAGATAGAGTGCAAGATACATGTTCGTTGGAGCCAACTGGGATCGAAAGTGGGAATTTTCTGCGTGGAGCCTGATGCTGTAATCTCCATGGAAAATGATGTACATTATCAAACTGAATAGGACAGCTTTATAAAATAACTGCCTAAATAAACGGTCATTTCTACTAAATTTGCTAAGTTCGTTACAATTACGGGTATTTAGTTTTTTTCCCCTCAAAGAATAAAGTTGGCCATATATATCAACAGCCAACTCGCCAAATTTGTTGGAAATTTCTCAGAGTGCATATAAAAAGTTCCACTTTAGAAATTTTATTAAATTGATCTTTTTCCTAATTATATGAGTGTTAAACTTATTCCGGTAAATGTTATTAGTTATTATCATATAGAAAAATAAAATTTTCTGTTAGAGGCTTAGTTTGCTGTTAAAACAAATATACAATAATCTTTTTTTCATCATTTAATCAAAAAAATTATCATTCTATAATTGATTAGAAAATATTTTGCTCATATTTTTAAAATAGCTACTCTTGTAATTTGTTTTAGATTGAAAACTAATAGACATCTTAATTGATCTCTTAAAGTTTAATTCTTAAATTGATCTTTTTCCTTAATTACAGGTGTGTTAAACTTATGTGAAAAATGTTAATAGTTATTATCTTATTAAAAAATAACATTTTATGTCAGAGGCTTAGTTTGTAAAAACGAAAATATTTAATGTCTTTTTTATCATTTAATCATTCTATAATAGATAAGAAAATATTTTGTTCATATTTATGACATAGCTACTCCTGTAATTTGTTTTAGATTGGCAAACTAACAAACATCGCAAAACGTAACATGTATCATGCTTTAAACACCAACAACGTCATTTACTCTGATCGCTAAACATTTTAAACAACTTATGAATTTAATTAAGTTTCTGATTAATAAAATTTTTAACTATAATTTCAAAAAAAATTAACCGAGTAGTTTATTTTACTTATTTTGGGAGAAAAGATAAACTAAAAACTATAACCGTTTTATTAAAATCTTTTAAATGCACTTATATTTTAAATGGGAAATGACTAAGCAGTTTTTTTCTCCCTCATCCTTTAATTTAAGAATAAGTTTTATGTGTAAGTTACCGTTAAAGTATAGAAATAAGTTATTCTATGAATTATCTGGATAAAGTGCAGATTAATTAGGATGAGACGTTAAAGTGAGTTTTTTTAATTTTATTTTATGCATTACCTTGGCTATCTCAAAGCTGCCTAGATGCACAATATCTACTAGGCATTCGCTAAAGTGAAAATAAGATCCTGGCGTGAATTAACATAATTTTATTTATTTATTTTTTGCTGTTGTATAAATCAAGTTGCTTCAATCAAACAAATAAAATATTTGTTGATTGAATCAATCATCAATCGCTATAAAAACTAAAATAGAAAAAATCAAGCAGTTTAAAAAATTATTACAAAGGAAATTAACATAATAAAATTTATTTATTTTTCAATATCTAAGGCATCAAGTCAATCAATACAATCAAACAATCAGCAACTTAGTTAATAGAATAAAGGAAACAAACTTTTGCACTTTAACGATACAGAAACCATTGAAACGCACATTACCTCGGTAAATTGCGGAAAACACTCGATTGCACACTTCAAAATATTACCCTACGTAGTAAAAAATTCCGGATAAAATTACAGTAGAAAGTACCAGGACTGCGGCGCCATTCATTTTTATCGTAACATGTTAAAGATCAAAAATTATGATATACCGTAATTTTTACAGTAGTTACCGTAAAATCCCTTAGACACACTTGAATTACTGAACAAATTACGGTAAAATATGTTACAGTAAAAATGGATTTTACGGTAAAATGATTTTTAAGGAAATTGCACCCAAAATGCCGGTACTCTATTCCGTAACTTTCACTGGTTTTTCTTGCAGTGGTAATTAGTTCGCAGATTATCTAGGAAATGTGCATATTAAAGATTTTCGAGCTTAATGGGTAACATACGAAATGGTTGGTTGTAAAAGTTTTATGAAAGAATTTTTTTCTTTAGCAAAATATTTATATTATGAAAGAATGTCAAATATTTATCGTCGTATTTAAAGAATTTTTTAAAAAAAAGCATGTTTAATGAAAAAAATAACATATTAATAGTTTTTTTTATCCAAAAATGATTCCTACCTTGCTCCCCAAAACAGCTTAGTGGCGACGTTGTACGTTGATCTTCTAAAAAAATGTATAGTAATTATTATACTAAATGGTAATAATAAATTCAAACTTACTTACTTAAAAGATTAACACTTACTTCCACTCCTTCTTTTTCAATATTCTGCCTAGTAACATTTCGGCTCTGCAAAATCATTAATTAGCAATTCTTAATATTTATATCAAACATTTCAGATTAAAAAAAGTTATAGATCAATAATATTTTGCTGGTTGTGGCAATTTTTATTATAAAATAATATTGAATTTATATGATAAAAATTCAGGTCTGAAAATATTGTATCATAAGTAAGAAACATACATAGTCTTAGGCTGTAAAATAATTTCAGTTCAAATGCCAATTATTTAGTGGAACAATACTACTTATTTTCTTCAATCCTCCACATCTCGATACGTTAATTCGACTTTTCAAGCAGAAGTGTTCTGAGTTGAAATCTAGGTCTAGTTAATTTACGTCGCACTAGAGCTGCACGATGGGCAATTGGCGACTGTCTGGGAAACACCCCTGAGGATGATCCGAAGACATGCCATCACAATTTTGATCCTCTGCAGAGGGGATGGCACCCCCACTTCGGTAGCCCGAAGACCTGCACGAGAAGTCGAGCACTTTACGGTAGAACTGTTTAACGAGGACCAATACCGCACACCCTCGGTCCCTACGCAGACAGATGAAATCTAGGTCTGAGTTGAAATAAAAGATTTACAATAAGAACACGAAATTGATTGGAAAGTTATTTTAAAACGAGAGCAGAAATTTATCACCAACGCAATGAGAGTAAAACATATGTTTATGTTTGAAGAGTTTTGTGGAAGAAGGTTTTAAGTGACATTTTTGACCAGAAAAAGGAACTCGGAGAAAATCTTATTTTTATCTTATTTAGCGCAAGCAACATTATCTCACTCGGCTCGGGTAAAAGAAATACTTTTTTAAGTGATTTTTATATATGGTATGAATTTTCACTAATTTTTTAGTCTTTTTTTAGCCTTCGATGTAAACAATTTCGGATAAAATTCCGGTTAAAAGTACCGGACTTTTGGTTGCACTACACTATAAAATATATTATTCAATACAATCCATTTTTACCGTAAAATATTATATCGTAATTTTTATAGAAGTATTTAATGAATAAGAGTGATTTAGGGATTTTACGGTAATTATTACTGTATAAATTACGGTATATTAGATATTTTGTTCTGTAATATGTTCTTGTAAAAATGAATTTTTCGTTAAAAATATCGGTATCCTAAGTCTCGGGACTTTTCATCGTAATTTGATCCAGAATTTTCCGGAGTATTTTTCGGGATTGGCAGTGTACAAGTTAATTCGCTGCATTAGCATTAAGCATATAGTTTTATTAATATTTTTATTAATTTCACAATACTAACCTACGAGAAACAAGGTTTGACACTATCATAATGGTGAACTATTCATTCATAATCATTTTGGTGAACAATTATAGCAATACTAGGCATTTTTTCTAAACTACCTGGTTGAATTAGTAGTCAGCGCATAGCTTTTAAGCATTTTTAATTTTACAATAATTTGTAATAGTTGTCTTTAACTCAATCTTAATTATAATTCTCGAAAGTCTTTATTAAAAGTAATATTTTTTGAACTATTCATTGAGAGCTAATATCACGAAACTATAACATTTTTTAGGTACAATTTGTATAATTATAAACATTTCTGGTCTGAAAATTAATATTATTTCTCGTAAACAAATTTGGGACAGCGGTTAAGCTAAAAAATAATAAAATATTTCAAAACTGGAAGATTTGAATAAATATAATATTCAATTTTATAAATACAGTAAGCATTTAGCAAAAAGTTTGAATATTAGAAGTGATTAGCATGAGTAAACAATATACATTATTAGCAACGTTTATAGTAATGCACTTTAAGATATATGACTAGGCTAATTTTTTTTAAATTATCCATATTTGAACTTTAGTTCATTAAATTTCCAAAGCCATTTAAATTTTCGAACTCCGATTTTAAGAAATGATATTATATGTGTTTTTCGTATGCTGAGTAAACTGTCTCTCTCTATCAAAAAAAAAAANAAAAAAAAAAAAAAAAAAAAAAAAAAAAAAAAAAAAAAATCTAAAATTATTTTTGTTATACTTCGTGTATTTTTACAGTTTTTTATTTGAATAAATTATGTATTTAAAAGAAATAAAAATCCTTTACAGAAATTAATTTTTAAATAATTAATTTTCTAGTTGTCAGAATTTCCTTACAAATTCAGAATTTTCTTGCATTTTTTGAAGAACGTTGATTTGGAGAAAATTTCCTTACGCTAACACACATTGCAAAAGAAAAGTTCATCATAGAATTCTTTTAAATTTTGTAAGTGAATTTTGTATAATGTTAGCGTTGCTTTGACCTAAAAGCTAAGGACTAAATGTCAATTTGTTGTTTTTATGAAGCTTTAAGTAAGAATATTTAGAATTTCTCTTTAAAACTTCAATATTAAACAATATATGTAGTTCTATTTCATTGTCCTTTTGAAATTTTTTTAAAGTTTTAATGCAAAACACAGGCAATCATAATATTGATTTAAAGAATTCATTTCAATATTTTTGCATTGCAGTTTGTTGTAAAACTGTAGCCTGACATAAGAAATTTGTTGTTCTTAAATCTAAATCAGCTCTTATTTTGTAAAAAATATTTTATAATTTTTTAAACTTTTAACTTTAAATAACTTGTTAAATATAAAATTAAATTTTAATTAAACTTTTTTTAAAAAATAATTGCATCAAAACCTGTAGGGTACCTTAATAATTTATTTTAACAAGAATCTTTAGCATTAAGGGAATACAGCATGTACAGTATATCTACTATAAAAAAGAACGAGTACATTAAGGACTTTTGATTGATTCCCTAAAGTATTATTTTCTTCTGGTGAATTATTCTTCTTACTAAATTGATTAATTAGAAATAATCTCATTTTTATTTAAACTTTAAAATGTGACCCAGTAAAAAAATTGTGTTGATTTTAAATTGGAAAACGTTAAAAATGATTTAAGCAGAAAGTTTATATGAACTAACTTTCCTCCGGCATAAACATCTGCGGTGTCAAATAAGTTAATACCATTCTCATATGCTACAGAAACTATGTCTTCAGCCATCTGAAATATAAAAAAGTAAGAGTTATTCTAACAATTACGAGAAGAAGAAATATATTTTTTAATAGAAAAATTTAGTTCAGATATTTGAAAACTGCCAATTCACTTCAAGTATATATTCATAGGTATACACTGTAAAAAATAGGGTCGAAACTACCAGAAATTAGTAAACTTTACTGTGATCTCAATAATTTTCAGCGAATCGCTTTGGTTAAGGTTTTGGTAAAATTAACAATAAAATATAGCTTTATATCATGTGATAAAACTTGGTAAATGTGTCAAAATTTGGTTATTTATCATAATAATTTAGAGCATGGCATAAAAAAACCATTGATTTGGTTAAATTTACTTTCCAGTTTTGCATTCTTTTTTAAATGTGTAGGAATAAGAAATGTGATTTTAAAAATCAGAATTTCTGGTAAACGGTTATCATATAAACGTATTAATTACTAAATAAATGGTTTAGTTACTGTATACTTTAGTTCAATTAATCAGAATAATGTTTTTTTTTTTAATTTTTTTAAACCAAAAATGTCATTACCATACAGTATGTTAATTTTACCTGGATTTTTTTTCCCCGATCGCACATAATTATCCTTGTCAACAAAATATACAGACCGCAAAATCACTTACACTAGATTTTTTTTCTATTTTAATTTTTTCAAAATTATTTTTTCAATTTAAAAAGGATTTCTTTTCGATGTAGTTTAACAATTGCTTTACCCATGTATATGCTGTAGAAAATTCCTGATCAAATTACGATATAAAGTACTAGCACTTCGGGAGCATCATCCGTAAAATCCATTTTGCCGTAAAATGTTATATCGTAAATTTTACAGTAATATTTATTTAATCAGAGTGATTCAGTTATTTTACGGTAATTATTACTGAAAAAATTAGGGTATATCAGATTCTTAGCTCCTTAACATGTTTCTGTAAAAATAAATTTTACGGTAAAAAGCACCGGTACCCTGAGTGCCGACATTTCTTACCGTAATTTAATCCCGAATTATTGACAGGCTACTTTATTTTCTCCTATCACTCTTGCTCTAAAACTCTCCCTGTTTACTTCTTACGTAATATTCGAACTGTCACTGTCATGAGGGGAATTTGAAAAGTACGTAACTGGTTTAATATCTCAAGAAATAAAGTTAAAAACCTGTAACCGAACTCGTCAAATATTTTCAAAAGATTAATCAATGGATAAAATGAATTTAAATAGAATCCTGCAATTTTCGTTTCAGATTTGGATTCTCCAGAAAAAGTTTCCAAATTTAAATTACAGATTTTGCTTTTAAATTCTTAGAGGGATCAGTAGTTGTTAGAAATGTAAATGGTTTATAATTTGTTCACAGAAATACATGTCAAGCTGAAAAACAAAAATTGGCGTTGAGAAATTGTGTTTAATTAGTATGCCAGTGAACAAAATGTAATATTGATGTCCAAAATTGTAACGTGTAATTCCTCATTCATTGAAGACGTATGACGCTTAGAATTCAATTGATTTTAACACAGCCCTTCGTATGATCATCATTCAAGCAGATTAATCGATAATGTTGAAAATATATATTGGGTAAATGTTTTCACTTTAAACATATTATGCTTTGCTGCACTAAACTTTTCAGATGTTCTTAGCATATATTTTAGGTGTAGTTTCTGNTTCTTAGAGGGATCAGTAGTTGTTAGAAATGTAAATGGTTTATAATTTGTTCACAGAAATACATGTCAAGCTGAAAAACAAAAATTGGCGTTGAGGGTTCTTTGAAAAATTGTGTTTAATTAGTATGCCAGTGAACAAAATGTAATATTGATGTCCAATATTGTAACGTGTAATTCCTCATTCATTGAAGACGTATGACGCTTAGAATTGAATTGATTTTAGCACAGCCCTTCGTATGATCATCATTCAAGCAGATTTATCGATAATGTTGAAAATATATATTGGGTAAATGTTTTCACTTTAAACATATTATGCTTTGCTGCACTAAACTTTTCAGACGTTCTTAGCATATATTTTAGGTGTAGTTTCTGTAGTTCATAAAAATGTTCTTGAAATATGTATATATATATATATAGTTAGTACCCATATAGTCAGAAATGCGTTTTTTTTAAGTTAAATTTTTTTAACCATATTCTGGTAGTTTTGATAATACTTTTTTTCCAGTGTTCTAGTGCAATAATGTAAAAAATCCTTTTATTACTAATTCATCAATACAAAATATNTATAGTCAGAAATGCTTTTTTTTTTATGTTAATTTTTTTTAAACCATATTCTGGTAGTTTTGATAAAACTTTTTTTTTCCAGTGTTCTAATGCAATAATGTAAAAAATCCTTTTATTACTAAATCATCAATGCAAAATATTATTTTATCACTAGTTCATTAATGCACTATAATAAAAATAATAATTTTATAACTAGTTCATTAAGGCAATATAAAAATAATAATAATTTTATCAGTAGTGCATCACTGCAAAAAAATCATTGCAGTACTAGAGCAATAAATATTTGATAAGGTTTGCATGAAAGCAAGAAATTATGAAGAATTGCAAAACTTACTTGCTCCGATATGTGTGAGCCGAAAGTCACCCAAGTTCCTGGAAATTATTACATTTTAGCAGATATATAACATGAATTTAGAGAAATAATGTAGTTTTTTCAATATTTTTATATTTACCTAATCCGATGGCTGATATTCTTAATCCTGATTTTCCCAAATTCCTGTTAATAACAGGAAAAAATTAGCAAAAAATGAAAATGGTATACTTATTTCTAAAATACATACTGTTAAAAACTGCATATGCATGAATATATTTATAAAAGTAATGTTTATTAAGTATTTTGATGAGAAAAAAGAAAGTGTGAATTGACAAAGTAACAAAATAAAAAAAGTATTGTGAACAAAATAAAATAATGAATTGTACAAAAAATCCAGGAATGATTTAAAATTGATAGATAAGCATTTTAAATTAAAATTGATTAAGAATGTTTCAGTGAACATCGGAGAGTTAATTATCTCTCCTAAATTAGTTTATATTTCTTTTTCCAGTCTACCTTTTTTAAATAAAGAGTGTCTTCCTGACATTTATAGTAAAAGAAATTTTCGGAATAGAAAATGCTAAAGAATAGGTTTTGACCCTTTTATGGTAGATAATGAGAATAATATAATAGCGAATGAATTTTTAATAATTCGTCGGCGAGCCTTTTAATTCCAAACATAGCTAGAAATGCATGTTTAAAGAAAAAGGATACAGCTCTAAATGCGTATTTAAGGTAAGAGATACAGCTCGAAATGGCTGTTTACGAAAAGGTATACAGTTATGCATGGTTAAGAAATGGACACAGCTCGAAATGAATGCTTAAGAAAACGGATATTGCTCTAAATGCGTAGGTAAGATAAGGAATACAGCTCAAAAGGCATGTTTAAGAAAGGGGATACAGCTCAAAATACGCGTTTAAGAAAATGTGCTTTTTCAGTATTCAACCCGAATAAAACAACTATGCTAGGAATTTCGCACTTATTCTTTTTTTTTCCAGAGTTCGGGTGGCAGGGTACACAACAGAGATAACTTTTAAGGCATCTCTACATATTTAGAGCATGATGTTATAAAGTGGTCCTAAAAAATTTAAATTCGTACAACGTCACTTTAACACCACTAGTGTAAATTTATAAGACCCGTGACTATAATTATTTGATCTATATTTCTTTGATCTCGTTTTTCAATATTTGAAAACTTCCGCCAATGCAGCATTACCTAGCCTCAGAAAAGTTTGCAAAAACTAAAAATCGGACAGTGATTTTGATAATTTTCATCTAGGCGAAAAAATTTCGCCAAATTGGCGGTTTTTAAAAAAGTATAATAACTTTTACAATATTTAAGTTATTTGTTTGCTCTGAAGACCGGATAACTCTTCATGGCAAGATTATATACATAATTTAAAATCATTGCATTGCTTCAAGTGTAAAGCATTTAAACTGTGGGTTTTAATTTTCCTTGGCGACAGATCTTCAAAAAACAATGTTAAGTGCTAAGCTCTCTAAGAAAGATATATTTGAGGAAAACTTCGCCAAGTGTGATAATTGGTTCGATTATATTGTTTTCGTAACTCTAATCTAGATTTTGAAGCTGCTCATGTAAACTGTTTAACATGGTTTTCCGAAGTTCTTTCATCAAGGAAAACAATAATAATAATAATAGAAAAGAAACATCAGTTTAATACTTTACACTTGAAGCAAAGATATAATTTTAAACTATTCATACCATCTTGCCATGAAGAATTATCTAGGTTTAGAATGAACACATAACTTAAATATTTTAAGAGTTATTAAAATTTTTTAAAAATCGCTAATTTGACAACATTTTTCCAACTAGATGAAAACTATCAAAATCAATGTCTTATTCTCAGTTTTTGCAAATTTTTATGAATTTTTTATTTATTTTATAATACAGTATTAAAATAAGTTTTTAAACATTAAAAATTGGACCACAAACTTTTTTCATTTTCTAAAAATTGTGGATTTTTTCGATATTGATTTGTTGCACCATTTTCAGAAAAAGCATAGAGGGTGTTACTTAAAGGTAAGCTAAATTTTTCCTAAAAGTTATGATTAACTGTTACAAACTCACACAGAAGTTATGAAAGTAGCATATTATAGCAAAAAAAAATATTTCATATGAGGACAGAGCCATCAAAAAACATCCTGTTAAATATAAGAGCTCCATCTATAATCGCGATAAAGTTGGCAGATATTTTTCACACAGAATTATACTATGCTAGAAAGTAGTATTTACATAAAGATCTTCGCTGTTTCAAAGTAACACTTCAGGTTCTCCTTCACTTTTTTTTTGTATGATAATTCGTTATTCAGGATTGTTTGACTTCATATGAGAAATTTAATCATTATTTTAGATTTTTCTACGACTTTTACATTAGCATTTATATGTAATTTCACTTTGCATAGTTAAAAAAATAACCAAGTTTTAATACAAAGAAATTTTAAATTTCCATTAATATTTAAAAAAAAATATGAGAAGAACTTACCTATATCTCATGTTGGCAGGGTAGGATAGGGAAACTTGCCGGCTCATCGGATTGGTTGCCATTGAGCTTTCAGTCGAAAGAAGCCCCTCCTCTAAGCATTCCAGGATTGCAATTGGTGCACGGTTACTGAAAAATATTAACCCACAACTATAAAAACGAAATAAACTATTCCATTAATAAATTGCTTTTTACATTTCCCACACAATTTTTTTGCACATTTTTTAGGGGCAAAACAGTTTTAGGCAGTAATACAAAATTTAATCTTATGTTTCTAATGTGATTTATGATTTTCCAAATTATTGTAATGTCTATTTTGTTGACCAAAAAAATTGATAAAGTTGATCATTAAGACTCTTGCTGATTACCACTTCGTTCTGTTTTTCATATCTTACAAAAGTAATATTTTCAAACCAAAAGTAGTAAGCAATTATTTAATAGATTAACCAAATAACTGCTTGAATTTCTTAAGGAATACAATATCTGGCCAAAAGTATCCGAACACCTAGTTGTATGCACGCTGGCACATATTAATATGATGCTACCCTCCTCATTTGCATTTATGACAGTCTGCACACGTCTGGGAAGATTTTCCATCAGTGTTCAATAAGAGGCCATAGCAATTGGCTTCTAGGCATCCATCACGGTTAAAGTGAGTGTTGGTTGTAAGTATGACCGATTTGACTCGTTGCATAATCTGCATCCTACTTTGTCCTGCAATGATATTCTATGAAGTTTAAATTTAGGCTCTTTAGAAGACTAATCTAGTTTCTAAACATCATTTTGTCAAACTATGGCTGCGAAACTCTCGATGTGTGAATGGAGTATTTATCCTGTTCGAAGAGAAATGAAAAATATTCCATCGAGATGAGAGAGCAACATTGTCCAGAATGCCCCATAGAACTCAGAGTTCATGTTTCCAACCTCAAGAGCTAATACGTCCAGGCCAAACCTGGAGAAACTCGCATGGTTTGATTACGCGCATGGCATATATTTTTTTCATAGTATTCTACATAACAAACAAAATTTACTGACGAACAAATTCGAACATAATAAAAGGAGAAAAGAAGTGTATTCTGTTGAATTACGTTCTACAAAATGTCTGAAGACAAAATCAGGTACAAAGGTAGACAAAAATCGGAGTGGATACAACACGCTCCCTGATAGAGTCTTACACGAAGAGTCTGTCGAGATAAATAAGAACATATATGCAATTAACTATGGATGTGCAATTATAATTCAAACTTTTTAATTGATCAGAAAAAGATCAGATTTCTTACTAATTTCATATGAAGATTTGTATGGCAATGGTCATAGATATTTTTTTATTTCCAATGAGCTACACAATCAGTCTTNTCCTGATAGAATCTTACACGAAGAGTCTGTCGAGATAAATAAGAGCAGATATCCAATTAACTATGGATATGCAATTAAAATTCGAACTTTTTAATTGATCAGAAAGAGATCAGATTTTTTACTAATTTCATTTGAAGATGTGTATGGCAATGATCATAGATATAAGATATAAGAATATAAGATATGATAGATATAAGAGAATCATCAAACAAAATGTCTGAAGACAAAATCAGGTACAAAGGGAGACAAAAATTGGAGTGGATACGACACGTTTCCTGATAGAATCTTACACGAAGAGTCTGTCGAGATAAATAAGAGCAGATATGCAATTAACTATGTATATGCAATTATAATTCAAACTTCTTAATTGATCATATTTTTTACTAATTTCATTTGAAGATGTGCATGGCAATGATCATAGATATAAAATATAAGAATATAAGATATGATAGATATAAGAGAATCATCAAACTTGTATTGCAATTAAACATTGAACTTTAGTTGAAAACTGATCGATTTAGCTAGTCGACGTTTCAATCGACAATAATTTATGTTTGGCGGTAACATGATTCTAAATGCTGCTTGCAGCTGTTAGTAATCTGTTGAATCTTGCATTATTGACAAGAACAGAGGTAGAAGCTATTCAGAAAGTGGTCGGGATTTTGACTGACGATTAATTCTAAATGGCGATAATATTAAGATAAAATCTGATTTTTTAAGCAGTCAGAAAACTATATAAACTTCTAAATTCTTTCAGGACGAAACTTTAGTTAAAGTTTTAGAGTTCTATAGCTAATCTTAAGAAGGTCGGAAATTTGATTGACGATAAATTTTGCTGATAATGGTATCGCAATAATAGAATCGTTTATGGCATGCTTGTGTCATTCATAAAATAATTTGAACTTATTTCATAATTCAGCACAACCCCAGATAAGTTTTAGACACTTTAGCCATTCTAAAAGTAATCGGAATTTCAATTCAAATTTGAGTATAGCTAGTCGCAAAGTGGTCAAAATTTTGATTACAAGTTTTTATGCTGAAGGAATCAAAACTTGATAATTAAAACGAAGTAAAATAAATGTGACATTATAACAAGTGCAGATGTATAGTCACACACATTGTGTTGAGATTTACCGAATTTTCATGTTTGCTTTATCAATATATAGCTGAATTAAAAATTTAATGTTTAAAACGGGTAATATACGGTTGATTAAATGTTTAGTCAAATAGATAAAATGTAAACTATTTAATATGCAATAGCTTTATTCGGGAATTGTATCTCAGTAATCTGTTTAACGATATGAGATCAATATAGGTCAATTCAATATTGTTCGTTGGACAACCAATTAGAAGATTCAGATAGTATCACGTGATCAGTCAAGATCAATATCCCTGATGATGCACTAGTGATGATATCAATAATAATTACAGAAACTCGTCAACATACTAAACTCTTATTTATTCATTAATTAAACTATGTTTTAAATTTTCATATGGCTTCAAAACTCGAATAATTATATCAATTTTACAAATAAAAAGCATTTCAGAGAAAGGTTTTACAATGTTTGTCATTAAAAGTAAATTAAACATGATGAAATTAATTCAATATTTTATTCAATAATTGAATTATTTATCTTACTCACATAATATATTAAAGTAAGAAATATGATTATTACTGTTATTTTTTTGTTAGTATAAATAAATGAGTATTACTAAATATGCATGAAACTATTCTGTAATAATTAAATAACTACACACTCCAACTAAACATGGATATTAAATTTAATTTGTGCAGTATACACTAAAGATTTATTCAGTCATTCAGAAGTAAGGTTAAGTTTGAAACTAATAATCGAATAATAATATTTATATCATTTTTTTTATATCATCGTACTTCTTGTACATCTTTCTACATAGCTTTATAATTTCAAGTTTCTATGAATTATATTTTTGTGAGCATCAAAACAAAATGGAACGTAGAACAAAAAAGGTGACAAAAAAACATTAAAAATTGCAATAACTTTCGGAGAAATTTAAATTTAAAAAACAAGAAAGCTTCTTGAGGTTCATAAAAATTGGCTCTTTAACGCGCCGAATTTCTTTGTTGCATTTCAACGCCTATAGTGTGATCTTCATGCAGTTTTTTACAATAAGTATCACAGTTAAAAATTCTCTAACTAATTATTGATTGCTAATTTTTTTCATTCCATCGTACTCCCTGCACATTCTTTTCATACCTATGGAATTTCACGTTCTTGAGACTTAAAGTTTTTGCTCAGCAAAGCAAAATGTAACGTTAAGTTGAGCACCCAAAAAATAGAGGTGGTATCGCTATACCCTTTTTTAATATAAAAGGAAAAGAAATATATAAGTATTTAAAAACTATTATCTATACTGTTATTTTCTAAAATGTGTTTAAAAATTCACTCTTTTAACCTTTTTCTAGTATACATACATTAAAAAATTAGATGGAAGATTTCTATGTTACTTTTTTCTTATTTCAATTTCTTTTTTCATCTTCTTCAATCTTTCAATGCCTATCGGCATAATACCTTCATCATAGTGATCCAACTGTTGCATTTATTAGTTTCTTTATTTAAACTATTTTTTCCACCAGTCGCGCCTCGCAATTGCTTTTCTCACCATCTGTGGTCGTGCACTCGCTTAAGAGCTTACAGATTAAAGATTTTTTTTATTTCCAATGAGCTGCACAATCGAACTTGCAGATGAGCAGATCTAGTGCGTTCTCCAGAGGTGGTATCCACTCTTTCAGGACCACCACAATGGGTGAGATACAGTTGCTCATGTTAATTTGGACGTCTAGTTTCTGCCACACTAGATGGCAGCACAGAGACTCTATTTGGATGCTAAAGTGCACTAGGAATTTAATTTTGCCGGAAATGCCAAAAGCCAATAAGGCACTCCAGGGATCTTTTACATGTCGCATAATTACAGATTAAAGATTAAGGAGAACTTAAGAGATTGTAGATCCTGCTGCCATCTATACTTAAAATTATGACTTTTTTCATACGGTATACCAGGCCAGGTAGAAATGTTTTTGTAGACGAGTATACTGAGCAAATTTTTACCAAGCAGCGACACTTAACCTTAGAAAAACATCTGAGTAGGGAATACCAGGAAAATATTGAGAAGTATGATATGAACTTTTGATTGCATGATTGACGAAATTTCAATTCTGTTTTTAAATAAAAAAAAAAAAATTTCTTCTCATTTATACTTTTGAACTTTATTTTATTTTATTATTATTTATGCGGTCATTTAATCTCAAATCGAAGTATTTTTTTATTAATGTTAAAACGGTATTTGAAGAAGCTAACCACACTGGTGGTGTAATTAACCACTGTCTTATTCACAAACCTAACAATAGATAATGTCTACAACTCCTTTAAAAAGCAGAAAATAGGGTTTTGAAACATTCAATACATACTAGAGTCTGATTGTGATAAAAGTACTCATGATTAGGATACGTGACAATTGAGCACCCCAACTTTAAGGCGCTTCTGGGAATTTAAAATTCCAACTAATTTCTATGCTGAGATATTTACCTATTTTTAATAAGGGTATTGGTTTTGTTGTGTTCACTCTTCACACTCATGTAGAATGTTTCGAAGATAAACCTTCACCGGACCAAAATGCCTCCACTCACCTATCAAAGAAAACAAATTTAAAAAAAAACATTATTACATGATGTAGATTTTTGCTGATATTAAAATTTTCTATAATTTTTGTATTGTATAACTTAAGGTTTCATAGGTGATAAACAGAAGTTGATAAATTGTATAAATTATTGCTGTATTTTTGTTGAATATGTTAAAGTAATATTATACAAAATAATTTATACTATGTAAAAATTTTCATGTATCAAAAATGGCGGCAACTACTTTACACCAAAGAGTAACTAACAAGAATTTCCACTACACCGAAACCGAGGATAGTTCCTGGTGCAGTGAAATACCTAGAATGTTCCTTTACACTACTTCAGTGTTTCCCAAAGTGTGGTACGCGTACCCCCAGGGGTACGGGAACAGTTTAGCTTTGGGTATGCGTTCTTATGGGAAATATCTTGCAACAAACGAAAATTTCAAAATTTTTTTATTTAAAAACAAAGATAGCCATAAAAATTTACGATTGCGTATTTTTCGATTGGCTATTTCTTGCAGAGTTAACAGTTAATAATTAGTGGTGTCAACAGCCAGTGGTGATTTTTAACTTATGTGCAATTTTTTTAGAGTAAAAAATATATTGATTTTATTATAAGTGGTACACAGCGTTGCGAAAAATTTAGAAAGGGTACACAAAAGTCACAAGTTTGGGAAACACTGCACTACTTGATGCAAAGTAGTCGCCGCCATGGTTTTTATTTATTAACACTAAAATTTATACTCACAGTAATATGTGATACACATACGAATCAATGAAGTCATTTTTATGAGACATTATAAAGTAAGAATCAATAATTTAGGTTGTATACAAACACTAATTCTTAAAATGAAATTGGTTTGCAAATCTAAAATGGGCGTAGCACAAAGAAAATATTTAGAAGAATTCGAAGTAGGCTTAACAGATAGAAATTAAGCTGATAGAAATTACACATCATAAAATTATTTAATACTGTTGAAAAGGACTTAAAAATTAATAAAATATCATTGCTACGTAACTAAAACAACTACACATCGTTTTAACGACAAGCTTTAGTTTCTGTAGAACACAAGTAGAATTAAAGTCAACCACAAACACTTGCCAACTATTACAGACTATGCCTAAAACGATCAGCATTGGAATTTTCGGAAGCGAAAATATTCAAAGTGTGGTATGAAGGCGCGTGATCTTGGTTTAAAATGTTTGTATTTTAGGTGTTCTAGAGCTTTCATACACCATTTAAATTGTATATTAATGCCCGATTTGATGTTAACTCTAAAAATATTGTTCCTTCACATAATTTTTAGGGGTTTTCATAACTTATTCTATAAAAATATTTTCGAAACCTTCAGTATGAAGTCGATAAAAAGTTGTCACTGAATCGTCTGAAAATCTCTTTAGACAATTTAAAAAATTCTTAAGCCCCCTGGAAAATGTCTAAAGTGTCCATTTTTGGTTCAAAAATGTAAATTTTGGAAGTATAATCATAAGGAAAATCAATTTAATCTAAAACGCAAGACTTAGACTTAAAATTTCGGAAACATTTTAATAGAATAACTTAAATGTAAATCTGATATGTATAAATTTGAATGTTTGAATTTGAATATTCACAAAAAACTCTAAATTGCTGATGTTTGAGTTTCTTAATTCAAATAATTCTGATCCGAAATAATTACATACATAAAGTAACAATAATAAATAAATAAAGGGCATTATGCTCTGTCAAATAAAATATAATTTATTAGCTAGTAAAATTGGGAAAAAAAAATTCATTTGTTCAGTTTTACGCATTAAGAATTCTTGGTTGATCCAATAAGATATCTAACAACGGGCATTGAAATCGAAAGCTCTCTTTGGCACTAGAAAATAAATGTAAAAATACTTTGCAGGGAAACCTTTGTCTCTGCATTGCTATGGCCAAGTCACTTTTCTTCTTTTTCTTTTGTGTTATCTGTAACAATAGTGTTTTGATCAAGATGGGCTTTTGAGGCTCTACAACGTTCGATAAGCTGCTTTTCTTTCCATGTCTAATCGGAGAGCACAATAAAAATATCTTCCACAACACTTCCGATGCTTCTTTTCTGTGCCTTAGAAAAGTTTTAGAGAGGGTAAGAAATACTTTTTCTGAAGTTTACGGTCGCAAAATTCTAGCTGTTTTTATCGAGGGGAAAATATTATTTGTTACAAGGCATGGCGTGAAATAAATATTTTTGTTTATTTTGAAAAGAGAATACAAATACTATCACTATACTTTTCAAATACTTTCAAATTGAAATACTTTTATGTCATGATAGTTTTAAACTATCATGACATGAAACTGATTTGGTATAGTATGAATTTCTGTTAAGAAAAAACTTATTCTATACCAAATTATACTATACAATAATGCAATGCCACATTAAATGCATCAAAAAATTCTAATAATATTTTTGAAATTTAATATCTGATGGACATTATGTAAAGATTATAAGATAGCTTCAGGCCTGTAGGAAAGTTTGGAATGAGTATACAGCATTAAATGCATTGAAAAATACAGATAATATTTTTGAAATATAATATTTGAAGGACATTATATAAAGAAAACACGATAGCTTCAGGTCTGTAATAAAGTTTGGAATGGGTGAATCACATTAAATGCATTAAAAATACTAATCATATTTTTGAAATTTAATATTTGATGGACATTATATAAAGAAAACACGATAGCTTCAGGTCTGTACTAAAGTTTGGAATGGGTGAATCACATTAAATGCATTAAAAAATACTAATCATATTTCTGAAATTTAATATTTGATGGGCATTATATAAAGAAAACACGATAGCTTCAGGTCTGCAGGAACGTTCAGAGTGGACGTACAACATTAAATGCATTAAAAAATACTAATAATATTTTTGAAATTGAATATTTGATGGACATTATGTAAAGATTATAAGATAGCTTCAGGTCTGTACTAAAGTTTGGAATTAGTGAACCACATTAAATGTATTAAAAAATACAGATAATATTTTTGAAATTGAATATTTGATGGACATTATATAAAGATCATATGATAGCTTCAGCTCTATAGGAAAGTCTGGAATCGCTAAGATTCGCAGACCTTAAGATCACTAAGGATTATTGTTATTATATTCTTTTAGTTTATTGTTGCAAATCTCATATCGAAGAAAAACTTTATACTATTTTCTAGCACGTAGAAGAAGATAAATATTCACGTTATCTTATGAGAAAAAATTTCATTAAAAGTTTAAAAACGTAAAATGACTTTTTCTTTGTTTAATTTTGCCTTGTAATTTTGAGCTCAATCCAGAAAACAAAAGAGCTTCTGTATCAAGTATTGGGAGAAATTTCCTTTCATGGCGGACTTTTTAATGGAACTAACTCGCATTTGAGTTATACGGAGAGGAAAACCTCGAAAATCCTCCCACGGTTAGTCTGACGGCAAGGGAGCTCTAACCCATGTTACGTCTACTACTGTGGATATTTTACGTCAGCACTGTGGTCAGTGAGAGCCGGGTGCGGAATTCGCATTGATTAGTTATCGCTAGGATTCGAACCCGGTTCACCTTATTCGAAGGCGAGTGCACTATCCCCTGAAACAAAAGTAATTATGGGGCATTGAAAATTTAAGTAAATATCAAATTGAAATAATTTTATTTATAATGTTAATAAAAATATAAAAGATTTCGTAAATGGCAGAGGGATTTAGACATTCATTATTCTGATGTACCATAAGTAAAAATCTTTAAAATTAAGAATTTTAGCAGTCTTCTTGTACGTAGAATAAATTGCTACTTTTTTGACGTGGAAATAAAGTTAAAAATGTTTTTTGTTGCAGTTTTCTCAAATTTATTTCATTAAAATGTTTTAAAACTGTCAACATGTCTTATTAACTTTTTTTCCCTGATAACACTGAAAGTTTTGAATGAGAAATATGAAACTAAAATATTTTCCTTTTAAAAAGTAGCAACGTTCTCCCTTTTTCTCCCGAAAAACTTTTTGATGAAATTCAAACATGAGTTGCAAGAGATCCAGGTAGGGCGGGAAAGATATATTCTAGGGGAAAAGAAAAAGGTTTGCTTATATAAATTTGACACTTGCCATGAAAAATTTTGAAATAAATCCTGAGAATTTTTACAGAAAAAAGTGGTAGTTTACATCAGTGAAAAGTGGTTTTGGCAGATACGTCAAAAACGTCATTTCCCTATACATGCGTGCAATTTCCTCTTTCCAAAATGTTTTAAGGTTTCTCTTTTCACTTTTTTATATTTTATACCTCGTTTCTCAATTGAATGGGGAAAAAAAACTTATAAAGTTTATTTCTGGGATACTTCTTAAAAACTTACATTAACTTTAGTTTTTTATCAAAGAGAATCTTTTTTTACACAAAGTTATAAAAGTGAGCAATATTATAAAGTAGGATTTCCTCCGTAAATATAAAAAAAATATTTTTCTTCTAAAATTAACACATTGCTTTTCAAACACATTAAATACGATTAAACATATTAGTTTTATTTCATAGAATTTTAAGTAAAGCTCGTTCAAAGAATATTTCAGTACATTTCGGCATATTTTGTAATAAAACACTTGGTATAAGCATTTGCATATTTTTTCGGTTTATATATATATATATATATATATATATATATATATATATATATATATATATATATATATATATATATATATATATATATATATATATATATATATATATATATATATATATATATATATATATATATATATATATATATATATATATATATATATATATATATATATATATATATATATATATATATATATATATATATATATATATATATATATATATATATATATATATATATATATATATATATATATATATATATATATATATATATATATATATATATATATATATATATATATATATATATATATATATATATATATATATATATATATATATATATATATATATATATATATATATATATATATATATATATATATATATATAT